ACCTCCTCAGCCTCATCCTTCCAGCCAGGGATGTGTTCCAGGTCTCTCTGCTCTCCAGGAAAAGCATGTTTATCTTGGCCCTGTTCTCCAAAGAGCTGGGCTGTGGGGACACGGGAACTGGGTAGGCAGGTTCGGGGAGAAACAACCACGAAACATGGAGGGCTGAGTGAAAACAGCCGACTCTAATTTAAGGCTGGCCAGTGGTGCTGCCTCTGGGGGTGACTCCCTCCAGTTGTCTGGGTTGGTTTTGCTGTGGAAAGTTCCTCTGCTAGGGGCGGCTGTCACTGTCCTTCCTTCAACCCCGGCCTCTGTGTCACAGGGAATAAATGAACTCCAGGCTGTGTCTTTAATAACACGCGCAGCTCCAGCCTTTATTTCCCCTCTCTCCCTCAGGGCGATTTCTCCTGGCAGAGGGAGGGAAAGAAATAAATGCACATTCCCCTTGTGTCTGGAGATAATTGGGCTTTGGTCGTTACATCCTGAGCCAAAGGTTGCTCTCTGATGGGTTCAGCCCGGAGCCTGGATCTGAGCTTGCTGGTGAATGCAAAAATTTCAACATCTGACCCATCCTAGACCCTGTCGAGCTCTGAGTCAGGCTGTTATATACTAACACCCTGTTCGGATCCATTTCTAATTGTGATAACTGAGCCATGCTGGGCCGGCACAGCGTCTGTTCCAAGACTTCAGCCCTACCATGTAGCCTAAATTTATCTTTGGGTTAAAAAGCTGCTGCCTTTAGGCTTCTTACTGAAGGGTGTATTTGGCTCTGCCGGCCGCTCTCCCTGCACATTGTGCAGACCTTTGAGCTTCCACCAAATGGGTGCACAGTGGTGCCATTTGCTGTTCCGTCGTGCCTGGGTTGAGTTAACGGCTGGCACGAGGACAGCGGGGCCATTGGCTGGGTGCACTGGTTATGGTGGCTGGGATAGCTCACGGAAAGCTCATGGAGAGCTTGTGGGAAGGGTTCAAGCAGGGAGAGGCTGCTTTTGCAGGTGAGGAGCACTGCAGGGCCCACACCAGCGACTGTCTCTTAATTGCCCCAGGTACCTGCGTGTGGATCTGGCCACCCAGGGCTGGTGCCAAGCAGCAGCAAGAGCCAGGAGTCCAGAGACACTTATTTTTCTCTATGGTTTTGTTTTGGGTTTTTTTAAATTTAATTTTTCCATTGCAGGGAATGTCTCCTGCCAGAAGTAAAGCCCCAGGGAGAAAGCTGTGGGTCCGGAAGCAGAATGAGAGAGGTGACCAGACCCCGCTGCCATCCAGGCACTGGCGTAATGCCCCAGCTCCAGGTGACATGCTGTGGAGAGAGCATGTCCCCCTCGGGGACACCAAGCAGTGGGAGAGGAACAGTCATGGTGGAGCTGGTCCCAGCCCAGCCATCTGCCAGGGCTGGGGGACGAGAGCGCTCTAATAAATGCCTCTGGCAGGATAAGCCATGGACAGAACCCCAGGAAAAACCCTATGCTGTTCTGTTTTTACAGGGCTGCTGCCAAACTCAGAGCTGTGTCATCTGTCAGAGCAGTATGTTCTCAGGGAGGAAAGGAGAAGAAGTTGTTTTCCTGAAGGATCGGGTTGGCTGTGACCACAGGAGCACACTGAAGCCTGTAGCAGGGAACAGGATTTATCCCGGATGATCCTTGTACCAGCAGGGAGCTTGCACCGGGAATACACAGGGACCATGATTTAATGCATTGTGCTCTGAGGAGCGCAGGTCAAGGGCAGGAGATATTAAACAGGGCTGTTTATGCGTAGCCAGCTCACCCAGCAACACCTTAGTTTGCAGATTTTAATACAAATCTAATGGCGATCCTGAAAAAACCACAGGCATAGGGCTGTTGTGATGACTGGGATAAAACTCCATGCTTCAGACTTTATTGGTGTTTCACTGTTTAACCCTGTGTGGGTAAAACCAAGACAACCTCTGGCTGCCAGCGGGAGGCAAAGGGCACTTCTCAGTCTGTATTCCATCCCGGGTGAGGTTTTGCAGTTCCCAGCCATGAGGGTGCGGGTAGGACCTGGCGGAGTGATGGCAGAGTTCACTCAGCCTTGCAAAGGCCCTCAGAAAGCAGCTGGAGAAAAAAGAAGGGGAAAAAAAAAAAAAAAAAAAAAAAATTTTGATTGTTAAAAAAAAAAAGTTCTCATCTGAAATGTTCCACAGAGTGGGCACAACATTTTTCTTCTCTGTTCTACAGAGCTTAAAAAAAGGCCCAAGGGAACAAGGTACCTAATGAGTAACCTGACCAGGCAGTGTCTGACTGGTTTAAAGATCCTTAATTTCCGAAAAAAAAAAAAAAAAAAAAAGAAGTCTTCCAGTTTCGTTATTTTTACAACCTCATTTTTCAGCTAGTCAGCACAACTCGGGCTGAGCCTCTGCCAAGGAAAACACACCGTGATTCTTGCTTGGGGCTCGCCTGTGATTTCCAGGGGAGCGGTGGGTCTGGAGGGGGCTCAGATCCCGCGCTTTTTTGGGCTGCCCTGGAAACACGTCCTGCCTTCGCACGGAGACAGCGCTGTCGGGGCACCAGCTGCTCTCCTGGGGTTTCCTCAGGTTACTTCAGGAATCTGCAGTAGCCCCCCTGACAACATTCACCTTTCTTTAAAATAATTTCTTCCTGGGTTTAAAAAAAAATAATCTCTTTTCCTTGCCGCGTTAGACCGTGAGACTCAGAAAAACTAATGGCGAAAACTGTGCACAGTAATTGTACAAAGCGTCGGGGAACACACAGGAAAACCTGCTGGAAGAAAATGGGAGAGTGTCTGTGAGTATTCTGAGGGGGTGAGACCCCCATGTGACAGGTATTGTTGTAATAGGGAGAAAAGAAAATGCAGCAAGGAGAACATTTCATCACTATATAAAGTACTTCTAACTCTTTTTAAAGCTTACTGGAAACATAGCTGGAATAGCCATGGACGGGCGCTGGTGGGCTGCTAATGGCAGAAATCTGCTACGTGTGCAGTTAAAATGTAGAGTCTGAGCAAGGAACGGGTATGTTCTCCTCTCGAGGAGACCTCATTCAGCTCGGGCGAGTCTGGATTTTGTCAGAGGATCAGAGCATGTTTCGGGTAGAGGGAACGGTGCTGGATTAACTGTATCGGGCAATTATCACCCTGTGATCAAGGTGGCCACTCTAGCACTTCCCAGTGCAGACAGGACCTGGGTAAAAAACCTGCTTCAACCCAACCGTCGGGTGGCCCGTCCTTGGCCCTGCAGCTTGGAAATGCCCTTGGCATTTTTGGTGTCTGCAAAGCCAGAGGCGGCGGAAGGAGGACGGGGTGCAAATCTTGGCTTGAAAAGACAAATGCTGCCTTTCCCGAGACCCAGAGGGGTGCAGGGAAGCGGAGGAGGAGGAGGCTGGGAGTCCTAGCCACGGGCAGAGAGGGGCGATGCTGTCCCCCGCCCCGCAGTGACCCGCATCGTCCCCCGTCTGCTCCCTCCCCGCTGTGTGTCCGCAGGCCGCCGCCAGGGGGCGCCCCGCAGGCGGGGAGCGGCGGGGGGGCGGTGCCGGCGCTGGCGCGGTAGCGTAGCACCGCCCCTTGGTGAATAGCGTCCCCTACGCGGGTAGCGCAGGGGCTGCCCGGGGGGCAATAGACGGGCTGGGGGCAAGGGCTGCGGGGGCTGCCACCGCCTCCCCCCCTTCGCTGCAGCTCTCACATCAGTAACAGCAGTTGGTGAAAGGGAGGGCCCAGTTGCCTTCCTGGCAGGAACCCCAGGATGAGGTTGCATCCCCTGGGTGTTTGGGATGGGTAAAAGTCACCCAAATTTGCAGCGGCCTTTTGGGGATCCGCTGCAGGGATCAGCAGGCTTCGCTGCACCATCCCGGTGTCAGCGCTGTCCTGTCAATCCGCCAGGCTTTTGGGGTGTTTACTGCACCTCCTGGGATTGCTGCAGGAGGTGGTGTTTGTCCCCAGGGTGTCAGATGGGGAGAGGGGGCATCCATCGTCCCCGGGTGAGAGAAAGGCTCTGCAGTAATGGGGCTGTGGTGGGATTCAGTGCATGGTCTCTCAATAAGCAGTATTGCATTTTTCCTTCTGACCCTTTTAAGGTCCTGCAAACACAGTGCCAGGGCCCATGTCAGAGCAGCGCAGCCCCAGAGCCACCATCCCGTCCTCGGTGTCAGCAAAGCCCAGTGAGAAATCATGACTGGCCACTGTCAGGACAACAACTGAGTTTCCATCTTTGCATGGAATCCTCTTTGCGTGCATCCTCTTTCTCAGCTGGTTTTTGGAAAGAAAAGCACTTGCTGATGTATTTGCCTCTGAAGCCCAATGTTCACATAGAGTTTAAACCTGGATTTCAAAGCCTCAGTTTTGCAGGATCTGCCACAGACAGTGGGAAGTTGAGGATCCTGCTAACAGCAGCAAGAGGGGGTCATTTGCAGATTGGTAGCTCTTGCTGTGACTTCTGCTTCCTCCAGGAGCCTCGTGTTTGAGCGGCGCTTGCTGATAGATAACACAGATTTCTCACCAGGTTACTAAATTTTTGAATCCGCTGGCAGGGACTTCCCTGCATGATGCTCAGTGGGGATTTACATTTCTACTGCAAAGGCAGCCCCTGTGCCCCTGCCAGGCTCAACGAAAACCTCTCACCCAAGCCTGGCTGTTGAAGGACCTCGGGTGTGAGTGTATGTGGGGGTCTGCAGTGTCGCCTTCCCCAGGGACGATCCCATCCTGCCCTGCCAGATGGCTGGTGGTGATTCCTTCCCATTGAAGTCCATTTGATGTGTCACCCAAAAAGAGGGAGCATTAACCCCCTGTGAATAGCACAGGTCTGCAGCACTGAATGTACTCGCTCTTTCCTGATAAGAAAAACACTGATGAGCAAGGAAAAAAAGATACTTGAGGATAAAAGATCATTCTTTCTTATTAGTTTCTTTACTGGCAGGTCTCAGGCTCCTTGCACACAGTTCTCCTACCTGCCTGCTAAGAAATGCCTGATTCGGTGTTTGCATTGTTTTTCCCCAAGTCACAGGTTTTGCTCAGTGAACTGATCCACTCTGACAGAAAGGATGGCAGGCAGTGGAGCACATAGCCCTGTGCAGGTCACCCAGAAAGCAGCTCAAAGACAGCCTTAGCCTCTGCCCTCCCTGTACTCCAGCAGGCCAGCCCTGCTGTCTGCAGCGATTTGGCAGAGGGCAGGAGTGCAGATTGGGCAAAGAAGATGTTCCTCAGGCTGGCATTGTGCTGGCTTAGGTGGGATAATGCGTCTTTTGTAGCCTGATTACGCTCAGGTTGGCTGAGGACTTCACTGAAGGAGACAAACCCGGAGAGAGCCTGTTCATCTAAACAAAGTAAGAGGTGCTGTTTTCCGTTTGCCAGAAATTCGGGCAGGGATATGGAGCCAGCCCCGAGCGCTAGAACAGAGTAATTGAAGCTTTAACACCCACCTATAACCATTTCAGTTTTAGGCAAGTGTGCTTTGTGGGGCATACCTTCAATTTGGTGGCTCAGGGATTTGCAAACAATGAGTCATAACTCCCTGGGGTCAAAAATGCAGCTGCTGAGGCACCAGGCATTGAAAAGTGTTGTCCAAGATAAAAGCAAAGCAAACCTCACTGCCCACACACCCTTATCCTTCAAGGCTGAGTATCTTTGTCACCCTCTTCGAAAACATGCACTCAAAATTATACAGTCTTCTCACGGTTGCCATTGATACAGAATTTACTTCTCCTTTTAGAGCAGACGAGGGGATTGCGAAAAATCTGTGACTTGAGAGAGTTGAGGCAGATAGATCTGAAGCTGTTGTGCAGCAGCCTGTGCTCCCTGAGAGGTGGCTGGTGTTTGAGGAGGGAATTGTTCTGCAGGAGGATCTTAGAAGAGGTCCCTGGGCCCAGGACAACCCCTGGCCCTTCCTACTGAGGCTGGACCTGTAGATCCCAGAGGTCATCATCCAGCCAGTTTGGTTTCAACCACGGAGCACTGTCTTTGGGACACCTTTTGGCACTGACTCACTGCTAAGGAAGAAGCGACCTGCAAGTCACCTGTCCCATAAACTGTCCCACTCACAGTGGTCACGTGGCGCCAGGCTCTTGTCCCATGACACATTCTGGGTACAGGAACAGCATGACATGGCCACCTTTGCCACAAAACGCCTGGTTGCAGAGCTCACGTGGCTGGTCCACCCCATCATGCAACACCCCACGCAGAGAGAAGCGGTGGCACGCAACCTGTGGGTCCTGCAGAGCGTTCCAGGCACTGCCAGCCATCAGCCTGTCCTGCCTGTCCCCATGGCTTCAAAGCCACTAGCATCATGAGCTGAGAGGTCTCAGGCACACCAGACCTTCACCATGAAGCCTTCAGAGCTTGGTAAGTAACAGCTTGCAGAACCTGCTGCTTTGGTAACACGCTGCTCTAACAAAACTTTGATTCTTGAAGAAAGGCCAGTTCTGCAAAGGTCTGTGCGTTCTGTGCTGGCTGTGGGCACCTCTCTGTACCTATTTTTATACCATTCCTACGGTTTAAAAAACCTTTCAGAAATGTCCGTGTTTAGAGGGACCCAGATCTGACAAAGTAACTGCCTCACTCTGGCCTTGGGGAAGTTACTTCACTCCCTGGATCATCTTCTCCACTTGAGTACTGAGAACAATCATATGAAATTACCCAGCATACCTCCAACGCAACTGTAAAAAATTAATTAGCTGGTATTTAGCACCGGCTGTAAAAGTGGGAAGGTACTGGTGTTGTTGGAGAATCTCTGTAGGTGGGGAGGCCAGCTGGGAGTCCAGCAAGGCACTCAGGTGATAGTCACTATTTCTGTGACAGCCTCTTGGGATCACAGTCATAAATAGGATGTAGGTGTCTCTCTGCCCCTGACCCCAAAGTCTGGACCATCAAAACACACTTTTGCCCTTGACACTTGAACTTTCCATGGGCTTTGGCTTCCACCAGTCCAGGATCTGGCTAACTATGGTGGTACCAAGTGAGTAAGCACAAGGCTGTGTAGTGCCACTACGACCCAGCAGCATGGGGTTGTTTCTCCTTGCCTGCCTTGCCAGGGCCGGTGTAGGCACTTGTCTAAGGGGATGGCCCCTGTGCTCAGCATGTTGTCCATAACCTCTGTAGGAGGCTGACTCAAAGGCAGAGCAAGGGAAAGATTTGGACCTTCACAATCTCAGGGAGTGAGCTAGCATCTAAGGGAAGGTGCCAGCATTGCCACCTCCCAGTATCAAAGGGATCACAACCCTGCAGTGGTTTTGTGGCTCTGGCTGTTGAGCAGGGGGAAGCTGTCGAACAAGTCCAAAGCCCTGTCTGGTGTGAGGGGAGGTGCAGAATCAGGCTTTGCAGCACTGCAGGTCACCCCCCACCCACTGTGTGGGGCTAAGCATCAATGGCCAAATTTAGACCCTTTATCAGGGCTTTGTTTTCTTCAGATATTCACCCTCCAGCAGATGCACTTTATCAGTGAGTATGAAGGGTGGTAATCCCTCGTGCTGTATGCAATGTCCTCTGCACCTCCGCAGGAGCTCAGATTGATTGGAGATCTGCCATGAGATAACGTGACTGCATTTGCTTCCTAAGGTTGGTATCTGGTGATCAAGTCTTGTCCAGAGCTAGCTTTTTTCCTTTCATGTGTTGCTGCTGTATGATTTAGAAATCAGCTGAGGATTGCAAAGGTGAAGGCATTAGTAGATTACCAGAGAGGTATTTGTACTGCAGGCAGGGATTAGGGGGCAGGCAAAAGACTATGGCTGTACCCTTGCCAGTGGAAATGCATACGTGGTGATGCAATAGCAGAAGATTTCTAGTGAACAAAATGCCAGAAGAAGCAGGGCGAGGATTTGTAGGTACCACAGCTCAGCCAACATGCTCCCTGGACCTCTCCACAGGCCCTTCCGAAATCACCAACCAGCAGATGTTTTGCTATTTCTGGTCACTGTCCTATTTTATGGACTAAGAAGAGAAAGGGAGGGTCCCTTTTGGTGCAAGGACAAAAGCAAAGAGATGGTGTAAGACATATTATGTTTTATTGTCTCTAATTGGACCAAGAAGATTCGTAAATAGAGATTAGATATCACAAAGGGAAGAAAATCAAAGCTGGAGACATTCTTACTTCCTGGTGTAGATGGATGAGTGCAATGGGTTGAGGTTTCTGCCCTGCAAAATGTCTTAAGACCTGCCACTATAACCTTTAGGGATGCTTACCTGCATGAATGTCCCTCAAAGGCAGAGAATGGGTTTCTTCAGAGCAATGATGGTGATTGGGAACGACTGGCACTGGGTTTCAAATTGATCCATTTTTAAGGGTTTTCATTGGGTTTTGATATTATTGTGTGAGCAATACAGTTTTCTTCACAGGCTACTGAAACTACGTGTGCTGGGCTGCTCCCTGCACCACGCGCTGGTTTCTCCACGTGTTTATTCTGGTGGGGAGGTGTGTGGTGTGTGTCTGTACGGCCAGGCAAAACACAAGAGCCACAGCTCAACACTTCCATTTGCCACTTTCTTACAGCTGTCTTTCTACTTTTATTCTGCCACCATGAAAGTAGCTCTCATCAGTGCCAGAAGACCAGCGTCCAGCCCGGATAGCAAGGACCTCTCTGCTGACACTGGTCCCGCTGAGTTACAGGATTCGTGTGTTCTTCAAGAGAGGCAGGACCTTGCCTCGTCAGCCTGAGAAAATGCTGCATTCCCACAGAGGATCAGAAACTCACCACGGACAGGTGTTGCATGACACAGCTGTTGGTCATGCCAAAAGAGCTGGCAAGTGACACGGGAACTCGGTGCGAGGTGACCCTCTGCCTGACAAAGGTACGTGAAAGATGGTGCCAGGATCGCTCTGCGGTAGAGGAGGGAGGAGGAAATTTCACCCACAGTTTTTGTATTGTGTAAAGAGAAAAGAAAAAAGAACAAGAGAGCTGAGGAACACTCTGTAATCACCATTAATGTCTGCTCATAACAGCCCAGCATGGGGGTCTGCCGTTAAAGGAAAGGGACTGATGCAGCAAATGCTCTGCCCCACCAGCTGCTGATGTGCCCCACAGTCCCAGGGCTGAGCTGAGAGGACACATTCCTCCCCATCCAAACAAATCAGGTGTGTTTGGGAGGGTTTCCTCTGTCATTTCACTCATCAAAGCTTTTCCTCTTTTGTCCAGTCCAGGTTTCAAGTGGTACCAGGTTCTTCTGCAGCTCTTTGCATCTAATGGGGCACCTTAAAAGCACTAATAAAAGAGATGTCACCAGCTCCCCTCTCTTATGAGATGGATTGGTTACAGTGATACAGTCCTGCAGATAGAGAAATGAAGATACAAAACTGGTAATGAACTTTCCGGCACCATGTGAGGAGAGCCCAGCAGCCCTGGCTCCCTTTTGCCTTCTCTTAGGCTGCATTTCAACAATTTAAAGCAGCCCAAGGACCGGTGGCCGTGTCCCGCCTCACCCACCCCTTCCCTTGCACTAAGCTGGCAGAAAATCTATCCACGCTGCGTTTGTTTTTTGTTTTCAGCAGATTTAGTGCTGGAATGACTTCGGGCAGGGTGAGGCAAGAGCTGTCACTGGCGTAGGGCAGGAACAGTGTGACAGTGAGTGCCTGACATGGGCTTGGGCTGGGCTGCCCTTTGGAGCGGAGGTGGCTCCCGCTGCAGGCAGCACACAGGCTCCTCTGGGCAACAGAGACCCCGAACCAGGCTCAGGCACCTTCGCCACCTTATCTGACTTTTCTAAAGCAGGACACCCCGCCTGCTCTGCGGCAGATGCTCCTCAGAAGGGATTCTTGCCAGGCCCCATAGATAACGACTTCAACGGCACACTTGCCGTCGCTCTATTGATCTCAAACTGCTTTGCGAGCGTTAATGAATCAAACCTTGCAGCATCTCTCCGAGGTGAGCGTTCCAGGTGACACACGGGGAAACCATGTTATCCTGCAGAGGAGGCAAGCAATTTGCCTAATGATACGTGACAGGCTTGTCTCTGGACAGAAGGAAGGACAAAGGTCTTCTGACTGCCAGTTCTGCCATCCCTCTGCCAACCAGCCCCTGTCTCAGGGCTGGAAGCAGTCTGCTGTACACTGCTTCTTTTTAATGTAGCTATAACTAGCTTTGTTCCTTTTTTCTCTTTAATTAGCTCTATACATACTTTTTTTTTCTTGGTTGCTTTAGCTTTTGCTTTCCTGAGTTCTCAAGTTAACGAAACCCCCAATATTCACGTGACTTGGATGAACAGAACATTCAAGTAATTGCTGAATAAGAAAATGAACTTGCTGCCAACATGCAGAGTAGAAAATATGGACTCCTCTTGCACCAGCAGTATGGTTATTCTCCCATGTATTAAAGTGATGAAGAGTTTACATAGTCCTAGTTCACTTGCCTGCATTACTGATTTTGGAACTGGTTATTGCCTGATTAATCCACCTGAATGCATCTTAAAATTGTCGTATTTTACTGTCTTTCATTTTTTCCCAACAAATGCTGTTGCTGCTACCTCACTCCAGATCACAGCTGCAAACAAAAGATCCCAAAGAACAGATCTGTTGCATTCTGTCTCCTTTATTTTTGAACATACAAAGTGGAACAGTTTCTTCAGTTGTGTCCTGCTCTCAGAGCTCTGAGGAAAGGCCGGCGGCTGTGGCTGTGCTGCCGTGCAGACAGCAGCTCCGGTGCAATGGGAGGATGCACAGGAGGGAGGTCCCTTCTTACCCCCACCTTCTGCGCCCACATGGGCATAGTGGCTTGGGTGGTACCACAACCAACACCCAGACTCCCCACGGGCGTGCTTGGTCGGGCCCTTCCTAGAATCACAAAATCATCTGGGTTGGAAGGGACCTTTAAGAACATTGAGTCCAACCATCAACCTAATACTGCCAAGTCCACCACTAGACTGTGTCCCTCAGCACCACATCTACTCATCTTTTAGATACCTCCAGGGATGGTGATTCCACCGCTTCCCTGGGCAGCCTGTTCCAACGTTTGATAATACTTTTGGTGAAGTAATTTTTCCTAATACCCAACCTAAACCACCGCATCACCACGTCAGGCCATTTCCTCCTGTCCTATCGCCTGTGACTTGGGAGAAGAGACCGACCCCCACCTCGCCACGTCCTCCTTTCAGGAGGTATGGAGAGGCGATGAGATCTCCCCTCAGCCTCCTCTTCCCCAGGATGAACCACCCCGCCTCCCGCAGCCGCTACTCAAAAGCCTTGTGCTCTAGACCCTTGACAGCTTCGTTGCCATTCCCTGGACCCGCTCCCGAATCTCAATGCATTTCCTGTAGCGAGGGGCCCACTCCAGCTCCCGGTTCCGGCGGGCGGCGCTGGGCCCGCGGGCGGCGCTGGGCCC